AATGGATATCAGACCTTACCTCGGCCAAAGCCTACAAACTGACCTTTTTTTCTCATCACTGCTACTGTCACGTGGTTTCCAAGTGAGGCTTTCACCACAATTACCTCAGCTACGGTAGAGCTTACAATGTATTGACTGGTTACAGCAATGTTAAAAACTGCATTGCGTCACGGGCTTGGTCGGTGTTCTTCACCCAAGGATCCCTAATATATGAACAGACCTACAGTAAAACCTGATACAGAGACATAATAACACACACAAAAACTGACCCTAGGCTCAGGTCGAAACGTAAACAAGCCACTCAGTGGACAATAGAACCCCCCCCCCCCCCCCCCCCAGTCAACAATAGACACAGACCACTCCGTGACTAACAGGCACTGAGCACTGCAAGTGAAACAAAACTGTATCATCTAATCACACACCATTAACTACACAGGCCACACCTACACAAGATCCCAACCAAACTAAAATGTGCATCAACATGATAACCTAAACCGACTAGACTTGGCACACAAGAAGATCAACAACGTTACTCCTTCTATCTATCTTATCTATCTATCTAGCTGTCTGTCTGTCGATATTTGTTTGCAAGCACAGGCACCACTTTTATTCCATGCGGATGGACTAAGGTCATCCCCACAACCCAACCCCGGTTACGCCCAATAGGCCAACCCCTCTCTCCCTCCTTAGACACTGAGTGTACGCTGTTGGCGTCAAACCCGTCCCTTTTTTTACCCTACCTGCGCGTTGGAGGTATATATAAGCTGACCGTCGTTTCATTGAACGAAGTTTTTTCGCCAGGGACACTAGATGAGTATCACTTATTCTATACATTAGAGTCCTATGTAGTCACTTCATAGTTAGAGCCTATTTGTGTATGAGTGCTGTGTTGTCCTTTATGTGCTGATGAAGGCTAATCGCCGCAACGTCCTTTGTTTGTTTATTGTGATCGATTTTGTAAAGCTAACATAAACTAATTGTTGTTTCTTACCTACTTTTTCTCTTCCCTATAATTTTCTACTCCTTATAAAAACTCCTTGGTGAACAAGATGATGTAACATCTAACCAAACACACGCTGAAAGTCTGAAATAAAGAAACCACATACGTGGGCGGCATTCAACACCAATCTAAAATATGAATCACTATGACTTGAACTAACTAGAACTAACTAGAAGTAAATTATGTTAACACACATATTCAAAGATGAACAAAAAGAGCACAAGAGAAACCCAATCTAATCACTATGATAACCTAAACTGACTAGGATTGCTCGTTAATGAAATTATGTAACATCTAACTATACACATATCACAAGACTGCAATATAGAAGCCATACACGTTGGGCACCATTTGTGTTAGCTGGAAGAAAGAAAAGGAAAAACACAGAAAGTAGGAGAAGCTAAGGAAAATTGTGATTTAGACAAAAATAGTTCCCTGCTGAACAGCAAAAAACAGAAAAAGTGGAGAAAAGACAAGGGGTTCTTTTGCGCAGCGGCCCTTGAAAATTTCGCCATAACCCAGACAAAGGATATCTTCATGGTGAGTTACATGACAACAACCTAACTACATGGCTACATTCACCTAGACGAACCACGAACTACAGATCTGAAAGTGAATCAAGCAAATGAATTATAATCATCACATTAAATAGCTGTTTATTTTACTGAACCCAACACAAAATTAATGTACACTTCACAAAAAATACAGTAACAACAACCAACGTGCTCGACCAGAATCTAAAGTGCTAATCATGTCCAGCTAACAAGGAAATATGATAATGAGCTAAAAAAAAAATTACCTCAACAATGGCAAAGAACGAAACATATTAACATTTCCGTTAGGTATCAACCAGGTGAGTAAATCACTTATAGCGACCTCCAATCAAACTATCTCCGAGTGAGGAGACACACAGATATATCTAGCTATACAGTTTAACTACTAAAAACAAATTTAGATTTAACTATGGAAACACACCACAATCACGAAATCAGCCAGGCAACCGGTCATACTTCGCAATCGCCCATACCCACACGGTTCAGCCCAATCTGCAGAGACACAAAAACTGGGTGGATCTCGTGCCACCTGAGCGACCGCAGGTTCAGTCTGGAGGCCAAAATGAGACTGGCTTTTGGTTAGTTGGCCTTTTTATTCGCATGTGCAAGTCAAGCTGCTGAACAGCGGTCTTTGGCCTGTTACAGTAGATTCTGATTTTTCATTCTCCCTTCTCTCCTATTATACTAACTGCTTATCTCTCCTGTACTCTCTCTTAATCCATCCGTTCTTTTCTCCCCATATCAATTATTCTTTAATAATCCCCATAACCTCTTGATGCACGATGTGTAAACTTTAATAAAATCACTTAATAAAATGCTCCAGCTAAGTACACTGAACACGTATAACCAGCTTCTAATAAAGCTGCTAAAACTTACCAGATGAAATGCTATCATGAGACTGGTTGTCCATGCTATAACTCATTACGCTCATATTCTCACCAAAATCCTATGGTAGCAAGTTTGGTATCACCATTAAATCCAACACATCACATAATCTTTTTAGTAATCAGTGCCAAAGTCAACTGATGGTAGTCTGATGCACGTTTAGATGTCTGTCAGCCTGAATCTTGACTTTAACTAGTAATCAGTGCCAAAGTCAACTGATGGTAGTCTGATGCACATTTAGATGTCTGTCAGCCTGAATCTTGACTTTCACCTGACTGCAGTCGAGCAATAGCAATGTTCCTGAATGCATCAAAATGATCTTGACTCCCAGGTGGGCCCAGCCTAAAGTGGGTACATGTGCAGTCCCGGGAAGTAAAGGCCGCAGGCATGATGCTGACTACATCACCCATCATGTGCCGATTGGTCTATAAAAATATAGCTCTAGCCCTTTATACCCTATACGCCTAAAGGTGTGGAAAAAGGGACCTCTACTTTTCACTTTAAATGTATCAAGATATGCCACATATGTCTGCTTGAAAATGAACTAAATTTTGTGGTGCAGTTGTATCCTTTAATTGGGTTTCAGTTGTGGAGTCACTTCTTCTTCTTCTTCTTTCGTTCGCCTGAAATAAGTTATCTATATCAGCAGTTTTGTCTCTTGTATAAATTTCACTGTCGTTGTTAGTTCATTCAGTGGTCCATAGAGTTTACGTTCCACTGTTGTTCTTTCTGGCCAAAAGGTTTGCCTTAATGTGTCAAAATCGGTGCAGTCCTGGAGTACATGTGCACATGGCTGATACACCTATCTTGAATTTTGTGTACATGTGGTTACGTAATCGGTTGTGCCCTGTTCTGAGGCGGAGGATAATGACTTGTTCTGGCCTGTCCATAATAAAATAGTCATCTTGTGCTGGGGCTGGTGGTTTCCTGATCGATTTAATGATTCTTTTCTTTTGGAGTCACTAAATAGTGTTCATTCCAAATTTTGCTTTCTCTTTAGCGCATCATGAGCTAAACCCAAAAATATGGCCACTGCATTATAATGATTATAAAAACTCACACAATTCATGCTAACATATCCATTTGGCAATGTAAACAACATTAGAGTCTGCTTTTTACATACTGTAATACAAAATTTCACTAACCAAAAAAAAAAAAAAAACGAGCAACTGGACAAATATGGGTTGCTTTGGGGGAAGGGGGGTGGGAGGGGTTAATCAGCATATCGTGTTGTTGTGATACCATTATCAACGTTAGGGTGTTTGATAGTGAAGTCCCAATCTCTTTCATCGATGACCAGCAATATTCTCAAACATGTCCCGAACATACCTCACACATGTCACACATTTTCTGCCATTTTGTTTTATATGTGATTGATTTACATAGATGTTTTCACATTGTTCGCTGTCTCTGTATACCAAGAAATCTATGACCTAACATATGAAAGCCCATCAATTCACTGCTCAACAAAGTTTTTGTCAGGAACCTATCTTTACTTTTAGCTACAAATAAAATTAATACATTTTATTAAAAGTCAGGGGAAAAAATAACAAAGGTTACAAATAACAAGCATTAATGTCCAGCAATTAGTTAACAAGCAAGAAAACACTGAAGGACAAAAGCCACATTTAAAATAAAAAAGTACTTACATGATACATGGAAACATTTAGCACAAGAAATAGATGTTATCAAAAGGTCAAAGAGGCAAGTGAACTGTGTTTTGTTACTGGCACTAAAAAACAAAATTGTCAACATTCTTCTCATTCTTTAGGACAGAATGTAAGACGGGCATAAGTGCCCAATTCTTAACTCCTTGAAAAAGAAAAGCCTGTTCGTTCATTATTGCGAATATATAAAATACGTTGCTTCCATACTTTGCATTGTTATTATTGATGCTGCCATGTCAAGGCTCCAGCATTTCAGCCTAATACCATTTTGTGATATATGCAAGTGTTCATTATTTGTTTCCCATAAAGTATTTCCGTTATCTGGCTTTGGCCGAAGTAATTTTCTTATAAATGAATAAACTCGACACACAGTAAAGTTCGGTTTTGGCAGTCTTGTAAGGATTTTAAGGACGAAGGCACTTCAGAGTGAGAATATTAAATGACATGTTTGTGTTCAGAGTCTGAAAGTAATGCTCTCCTTTTTTTTCTGTCTGTTGTTCTATATTGTCTTTTCCTTTCTTGTCAGATGTTTTATACTGTCTTTTAGGCCAACACTGAGCATGTTCATATATTTTCCTGTCTGTTGTAACATGCTCAAAAAGTCTTCATATTACCACGAATTAGTTCTAAAAGTTCTCTGAGAAATTCATGTGAGTGCAAGTAAAGCCATATACATTTTGGCTAGTATGTCTAATTTATTATTACATGGTATATATCAATTAGTAAAGAGGATGCATTGGAAAACCAATACCTACAGGTTTAGATCTGTTTACAGATTTTCCCGAAAAGAGGTATAGATAAACATTATGACCCAGGCCAGCCAAAAAGGCATTAAAGCAAGAGAGAAAAACAGAAATCCAAGGTGCGGAAGGGAATTTTATTTCCCTCCTCCGACTACACATTGGAGCAATGTATATTTGCAGAAATATTTTCCAAGCTGTGACAGCTTGGGAGTGTTATAGCTGAGGCAGTACTTGTATTTGGCCAACCTTCTGCTATAATGATAGTGTTATTATTTGCTTGGATGATCACAGGAGTTCCAGAAGTCTGAGATTCAAAAATCTGTCCATCAACAACTTGTATTGTCTGCCCATCAAAACTGTGTAGTGTTTGCCCAAATTCAATCATTTTCAATTCACCTGGATCTCTGATCTTCTTTGGACGTCCTCGTTTCATTAACGTTCCATTTTCATGTGATCTCAGATGTCGCCCTAAATGCCCCTTGTTACTAAAAGCACCACCACACAAACCACAAAGGAATGGACGTTCACCAGTATGCATCCTTGCATGGTCTTTCACCATGTAACGCATAGAGAAGTCTTTGCCACAAACATTACATTTATAAGGCTTCACACCGGTATGAGACAGCTTATGCTTGTTGAGAGCGACCTGTGTCATATAACTTCTGTCACATTCATCACACTGAAATGTTATTCCGCTTACTTCCGTTTTATGATGTTTCATATGTATTTTAAAGCTTTCCTTTGCTTTACTTGAGTAAGATTTTCCACAGATATGGCATCTTAAAGGTTCTGTGCAAGGTCTTCCTTGTCGATGCTTATTGTATCCTAGTGTGCTATAAAACCTTTTACCACAGTCAGAGCATGCATGTGTGTCCTTAGGATTTTCATGCACTTTGTATCGATGTAGTTTCAAGTAACCTTCTGTGCTAAATCGAGACTCGCATAGATCGCAATTAAATTCTCCTGTGCGTCCATCTTCAAAACCATCCCTTTTTGAGCAGGTCCCCATTCTAAAGTGTTTCACATATCCTGCATGGGTTCTATAAAAACGATTGCAATCACTACATTCAAATGCTTCACTCTTTACTTCACTTCCGTGTATCATAAGATGATTTTCTAGCAGCTGCTCATTTTGAAATGCTTTCGAACAAATAAAGCAAAATACTGATGAGATGCAATATCCCTTTTTCATATGCCTGGCGCATGCCTGAACACTACTAAAATTTATGTTGCAAAACTGACACATTTTTAAATTGGATGCCATTCCTAATGCATTGTCCCATTTTCTCTTTCTGCCTCTTTTCTTCTGGCACAAGACCAGAACATCAGGATCTAATGCATTCATAATACTTTCACCACTGCAAGGTTGCATGACATGACTGTATGAACTGTCATGTAATTTTCCTCTGCTCATTTTTCTCAATGAAGTGGATGATTTCTGGTAATTTGTTCTACTTATATTTGGGATATAATCTTGACTGCTGTCATTAAATTCTTCATTCCAATCACTCTCCCTATCTGTTACAGGTTCTGCTTTGATATGTAGGGAGTCGTTATTGGAGGTGGATTCAACAACAAACGCTTCATTAAAAACTTGTTCTTGTGCTGATAGGTTTTCTTCAGACTCTGGCAATCTCGGTAAGACTCCTTTTTGTGTTGAAGATACAAAACCTTTTTCTTTTATAATGCTCTTCCCTATTTTCTGTCTACTTTCTGAAACAGCGCTGAGAAATTTCAAACCACCATCAGGAGATGTTCCCCACTTTGATGGCACTGCATCAGTGCTGCAATTATCAGCAATGGCAATTTCAGCAACTGAAGAAGAAATGAGATCTTCTGTTGTCTCAACACAGTCTACACCGAGAATGACAGGCTCTTCTTCCTCCTGCATAAAAACAAAGGGAAGAGATTTAGCAATTTTTAATTAACACATTTATGTATATTTAAATACTTCTTGCTGAAAAGTTCCCAATTTTTTTTTTTCAACCAATAAATTTAAAAAAAAATTATTTTATTAATTATTAAATAAGTATTCTCATTTAGTGCGGATAAACGCTGCCTTTTTTTCAACAGGAGAAAATATAGGTACCTGAGAATATTCCTATCTTTGAGATTATTCCTTTTTTTAATATACACTCTTCCTTATAGTAAAAGTGTAACCAGCTGCAGCTTGAAAAATCACGACTGCTAAAAAAAGTAAAGAAGAAAACATTAAAAGAATTGTACTTATTAGATCTTAGGTTTTGCGAATATGTTTCGTAATGCAGTGGTGAACGTGAAATCTGCCTTAAAAAACCACAATAGCCACAAAATTGCTTGGGTTGGTTCTGTAACATCCTGTAAAAAACAGGCAACTAAATAATTTTTAACTGGTTAGATCAGTCTCCCCCCCCCCCTCCCCCCCCCCCATTTTTTTTTCTTCAAAACCCTAAATCCCGATTATAGTAGCTTCTTGCCCCTGAACTCTGTTATATGAAATGCATCCAAGTGCTTCTAGTGGGTTATGGTTTTTTTCTAGACTGCTGGGTATGGTCCATAAATGGAAAAACCAGTTTAATAAATGAAGACATCTTGTTATTCAGAATTCATCTTGAATTAATTACACACACACACACACACAAAAACTGCCATTACTGCCTTATTTACACATTCGTTGTACTAACTCCCAAGCCTTGCTTTACAAACACAATTTCGTTACAACTGAGGGTGGGTGATGGGCGCCTGAAAGCCCCCCCCCCCCCCCCCCTTTCCGTTAAGTTTTACGTCATGAAGTATTTGTTAACTTTATATTATTACAAGGGGTAAAGTTTAAAAAATATCGGGGGGGGGGGGGGGGGGGGGAGTTATAGAGAACTTATTGGTCCCTTGCTGTAATTTCGAGATAGAAAGACAGACTCCGGTCCGTCCATATACGTGTAATTAAGGAATGCTGGCATCGCCGATTATTCTAGTTGAAGTCGTTTTAAGATAAGTCATTTCTAAGTGTCGCTAGACTGATGTTTAAGATAAGCTGCTTTAAAAGTTTACTCTGATTACTGTTTTATAAAAGTTTAAAAGTTGGGTGGGGGGGGGGGGGGGGGGCGCTCAAGTGACTGAGTCCATTTTTTTCGGCGCCTAAGGTTGATAGCGAGGTTAACGATACGACATGGCAAACGTGATCTTCAGATTTATTCTCAAACAGAAGTTTGTTTCTGTCTAGTGAACGAAACATTGTCGGAGTTGAAAATGCCTTTGGTTGGACAATACACAAATGTCAAATCGTGGTTGTGCTTGAGAGTTGAGTTGAGTCAAGAATTTACATAATAGAACCCGGGGCATTACCATGCGTGCTCCGTCCTCATCTTCAGCAGCCAGCGCAAAGTTCCAATACAGATGGTGCGGTCAAAATCTGGTTATCTGTCCGTCTTGCCTTTCCTCTGAGTGTAGTGAGCAAGCCAGACCGTCTGGTTACACCCAGGTGCCTCATTCTCTCTAGGCCATAACAATACGGTTTCTCTACTGATTCCGTTGCTTGTTCCCAAAGGGCCTTGATCACATCTACCTTGTCATGTTATCAATTCAACACCCAGTGGTGCAGATCCAGCCAATCTGTCTGACTGTTCATTACCTACAACGACGGCATGCCTGGAGAAAAGATCTAAAGTATGCTCACTACCCGTAAGACAGTAAGTTTGCTTAAAAAGTAATATTCTGGTACTGCAATGAAGAAGGTTCCCTGTGTGGATGCCCATGATCCTTTTTGTCTAAAGGAAAAAAGGTGCCAGTACTCATCAAAAAATGTCTAATGAAGGTGTAGTACTCAACACAAAGTTCAATTACTATAGAGCTGGAAAAAAATTATGTTCATTAAACGGTGCTGGTACTGCATACTGTTTCCTACAGCCAGAAAAAAAAGCCCTGATTATAACCAACATAACATCACCAACATGATGGAAGGTCCTCTTGTTGACCCACCATGTTCGTTTGTGTTTTCAAATTGTTCTGGTTTTAACCAATATCTTCAACTGGAATTAACAAGTTGTGTTTCAGTCGGACACCGTGTAACTAATTTTTTTTTTTTTATCTGGAGACATTCTCCACATGAGATGAAACGAACATGCATTTCTCCGTGTACCAGTCCTCAACAGACGGCATTGTTGACACAGCCATGTGTTCGTGGTAGTAAGTTACGCAAAGAAAGAAAGGACGGGCTACTTGATCTAGTGAATCGAAGCTAACTTTCCAGCTTGAAAAAATACCTCCAGCTTGCGTGCAATCGGGTTTGTGTAGCGCTTCCATGCCAACACAAGATGTCAATAAAAGTTGATTAGGCACTCCTCCTGGTAGGTGGAGCCCGTCAGCTGGGGGACAGCAGCCCACCTCTGAAAAACTATCATTTCCCTGTGGTCAGGCCTTGGTTGGTTACGGGCTAAGGAAGCACATTCCGAAAGAAAGCTAAGTTAAAAGAGGACTCAATAGGTCGAAAGGCACCAACAGTATGGCGGAGTATTTCCAAGAAACATGGCGTCACGCACACTTTCCTGAATGTCATAAATCCTAGCAGGAATGAAGATTGGTGTTTAATCTTTTAATACTCCACTAAAACCACACCAAGTGGGCCCTACCTCAAAAGTGGCAATCGGACAAACTCACTACTCACAAATCTAGGTGAAAACCCCATATATCATATCCAAACAGACGGACAAGATGAATTAAGAAGACCTGCGCGCTCTCTGGATTCTACAACAAAACGCAGAGGAAGTCCGCAACAAAAAGGCTGCACTCGCAAAACAACTTATCGAAGGGAATATCGATATTGCCTGTACACGGAATTGCCTGTCACCTAAATATAGAAACGGTAGAAAAACAACATTACGTACCACGCAGCAGAACCTAAACTCAAATAAGAAACAATCCAAGCAACTAGGAAGAGCTGGAAATACAAGACCAAAGCCTAAGGTTTTGAACAGAGAAGTCTAACAAGCAAATCCAATAGAAATAAACAATGGTAACGATATCAAACCTGGAAAAGATGTTTCAAATATCCTTTTAGATCAGTTTATATCTGTTAGAAGATAGGGTAATAACAAGAATTGGAGAACTCGTGGAAACCAGAAAGGTTAAACCAGCAGAAAGCATCATGACAATTAAATTCTAAATTTACTGACGACTGGTAGATCCCCGCTGTACTTGCTCCCTGTGAGTTTATTCCTATTGTACGTGGCTAGCCCACAAGACTACCAGGAAAGACTGGTGACTATCGGGAAAGACCTTTTGACACCTATGGAAAGACTGGCCCCCCGGTATCGCCGGGGGGATAAACTGACATCTGGAGACAGATGTCGACTGTGGACCGGGTTGATCACCCCCTAACAAAGTATAATACCTTCGATTTCGTACAACCACAATGAAATATGCCCCCAAGGCCCTCCGAAAGGGGGGGGGGGGGGAGAATGAAGGGCCCAATCCTATTGATACTCTCGGTGACGACTTTGCTAGCCCCCGGACTCAGATACTCGCCCAGCGTCCGGGCTGGCTCTGTACATGTGGGAAAAGTTCACGGGGTTGCATGGTCTGAGAACGCATGTCGGAAGAATGAAATGCGAGGGTGCTCCACGCAGTAAACGCCGTCGCAAAACTACTACTCCTGTGGTAGTTTCTGAGTCGTCAGGGTACGACGGGCAGGGTGAACCCCACTCGCCCGGAGAGGCCCATGACGTCGACTGCGGAGGAGCACGTTTGATGATTTCTGAAGAAGTGCATTCCAGAATCAGGTTTCCACCTGCGAGCGAGAAGGTGGTGTGGTGTAAGTTGGAGGCTACATTATGTGAGGTACTTAAACAAACTCTAAACAAGAAGTCGCTAGGCGACAAGCTTACGAAATTTGGTGATGTAATATATGAACACTGCTCCCGCGAGTTCGGGACAGTAGTAAAGGCACAGCCGGGTGCCAAGCAGAATACTAGCAGGAGGCAGAGGGACATTCTGAAGTGTCGGGCAGACAAGAATGCCCCCAAAAAACGGTTCAAAGCCGCTACAGGCAGCGAACGGGAGGGGCTGTACGAAGTTTGGTTGCATTTAAAGAACAAACACAGTGCCCTCTGTCGCGCCGAGCGTTTCTGTAACAACAGACGAGGAACCAAAAGGGAGCGAGAGAAATTCTTTAGGGACCCGTATCAGTTTGTCCGAGGTCTATTCGAGCAACCGAAGTCTGGGACTCTGGTTGTCAGTCAGAAAGAACTTGAGCTACAACTAAGCAAGATGTACTCGGACAAAAAGAGGAGAGAGCCTCTCGATGACAATCCAGAGATCCTTAGCGGCCTTAAACAGCCTTCGGTGCCGAAGGTGCCATTTAAAATGGTACCTCCCCTTTGGTCTGAGGTTGAGGAAGTTGTTAAAAAGGCCAGCGGCAAGTCTGCCCCAGGTCCGAACGGTGTTCCGTACGTTTTTTACAAGCGTTGCCCGAAAATCCTAAAAATGCTTCACGTCTTGTTGAGACAAGCGTGGATCCGCAATCACATATGTCCAGAGTGGTCAAAGGCAAATGGGGTCTACATTCCCAAAGAGCAGGACTCGAAGAGTCTTTCCCAATTCAGGCCCATCTCGCTGTTGAATGTCGAGGGTAAGATATTCTTCTCAGTCATGGCTCGCCGGCTCACACAGTATCTGATGACTAACAAGTACATAGATACGAGTGTTCAGAAGGGTGGTATTCCAGGCGTTCCTGGGTGCCTTGAACACGCGACCATGATTTGGGAGGCTATCCAGAGAGCCAAGCATGAGAGAACTCAATTGCACGTTATATGGTTGGACTTAGCCAACGCCTACGGGCAGTCCCCCATAGGCTACTGTGGCGAGCCCTTCGCATGTTTCACGTACCGGCACAGATCAATCAAATGGTCGAGC